TTGATTTATACTGAAGGAATTTGAAGAGCTGTCCGCCACTTTATCACAGATGTCCGGTAGATGTCCACGTGACACGATCAATTGGCCAGTCGGGTGGAGGAGGGTTTACGACACATTGTTTACAGGACCTAAACCAAAAAAATCACGATTGCAAATCGGTCGTGAAAGTCTTTTTGAAGCAAAAAATGCATTCCTTAAAAATCCCGGTTGCAATAGCTCTTGCTAGTTCAGATCTTGCGCTGTTTAACCCAGTGGGTCGCCCCGATTCGTTTAGTACCCTCGGGACGGCTCTGGCTAAATGAATGTACAGGGGGTGCTTCAAACAATGTGAACACTTCTGAGAATTTGTAACGATGCCACGAGAAATGTGCCGCCTCCGAGCTCTGGAGACCACCTGGAGAAGACTCCAGGCCACGCGTTGACGACGACGGCGAACAAGTGGGAGACTCGTTGACTTTTTGAAGCTGTTAACGTGACATTTGTTATCATGCCACAGTGTACAGGGTGTTTCAAAACGATGGACCCAATTTCAAAGATATAGCGATTTCAAATCGGCTCCATCCTTTTGAAACACCCTATATTATCCATGTTTTTCATTAAGAACGATATTCCCATATAAGCGTTAAAACAATATTGAAGCACCGTGTATATCTGCATAAGAATCGACAAATGATTGCACTGAGACAAAGATCACCCGTAGAGCCTGAACAGACTGTTGAACGACCTCGTAGACTGACGACTTAAACGTCGTACGCACGCCAGAAGGTCCACGAGACAACATCCACAGACGCGGTGTCCACGCGTCGGAGGATGGCACCGCACGTGAACTCGGAGTGAAGATGAACCTCCTCGTCACGCTTGGAGAAGGGTGCTGCTCAGTGCTGGCGCTGGGAGCTGTGTCTCTACGTGTGTTTCTACGTGTGTGTGTGTCTGTCTGTGCCTGTCCGTGTGTGTCTGTGTGTCTGTCTGTGTGTCTGTCCGTGTGTCTGTCCGTGTGTCTCTCCGTGTGTCTGTCCGTGTGTCTGTTCGTGTGTGTCTGTGTCCCTCCGTGTGCGTGTCTGTGTGTGTCTGTCCGTGTGTGTGTCTCTCCGTGTCTGTCCGTGTGTCTCTACGTGTGTGTCTGTCTGTCTGTGTGTGTCTATGTGTGTGTCTGTCTGTTTGTGTCTGTTGGTGTGTGTGTCTGTCTGTGTCTGTCCGTGTGTCTCTGCGTGTGTGTGTCTGTCTGTCCGTGTGTGTGTCTGTCTGCCTATCAAAGACGCAACTGATTTTCAAGCCAACGAAGACGTAACCGGGGCTTCACGTTTGGAGCTCGCACGCGCGACCGCCACCACCACCACGCAGCAGCAGCAGCAGCGGTGGGGTGAGTCACGGCGTGAGTGGGGGTGGCGGTGAGTCACGGCGTGAGTGCGGGTGGCGGTGTGACTCTGCGGGTGGCGGTGTGACTCACTGCGTCTCACTCGGGCCGGGTCGCTCGGCTCGGAGCGGGGCGGCATGCTCAGGGACACCCGAGCCTCCACCCGAGCCCCCACCCTACCTCCCACCGGAGCCTCCACCCTACCTCCCACCCGAGCCCCCACCCTACCTCCCACCCGAGCCCCCACCCTACCTCCCAACCGAGCCCCCACCCGAGCCCCCCATAATTTCAGCAGCATTGTGTCAAGACAAGCAAACTCCGACCCGGGTTTTGACACCGGGGTCTCATCGGCAGCCCAGGCTTGCGCGAGTCGATGCTGTAGAACTGCCGATCGTACGGGCAAGGCGCCTCTCTATCTCTCTGCGACATTGGGGGGGGAGTCGTACAGAGGTCGAGTTCAAGCCCAAAGGCGCCTTGTTTCTTGCGGTCAGACTGAGGCTGCACTGGACCATGAACAACGAAAGTGGCTGAAATAATGCGAGTAGCTGCGCAAAGCGAAGTTTCATTGTCTCGCCTTTGAAGCAGCGGGCAGATGGATCAGGTTTGGCGTAGCAGTGAGTGGCACAGAGCGTTGAGGCTGGTGTCCCACTTTAGACAAATTCAGCACGGCAGTGAAACGCCAGTCTCGGCAGCCACTTTGGACACGGAGCAATAATAATTATTATTTAGAAAATACAAAGAAGAATCCATAGGAGAGGTTAAACCAGGGGTTGGAAACCAAAATAACAAGAAGAGCCATTTATTTATAATTCTTTGGTAAACTGAACTTCCATTGTAAACTAAACTTCCAGGGTAAACTGGACATCCATGATAAACTTTACTTCCAGGGTAAACTGGACATCCATGATAAACTGGACTTCAACAGTAAATTAACTTCCATGGTAAACTGGACTTCCACGGTAAATAGAACTTCCGTGGTAAACTGGACATCCATGGTAAACTTTACTTCCAGGGTAAACTGGACATCCATGATAAACTGGACTTCCACAGTAAATTAACTTCCATAGTAAACTGAACTTCCACGGTCAAGGGACCGGCAACCAAACTAACTTGAGGAGCCTTTTCTGTGAATTTCACTGCAGTCCTTAAAGCGCCACAGGTTATCGACCCCTGGGTTAAACGGCGCAGGATGTGAACTATCTCATGGGACCTCCTTTGCCTGTACCAAAACATGAGAATAGGTTTTCCCCTTGTTTCTGGCAACAAAACAGCTGTGTTGAGATGTTAAAACACCAAACTGAAACCTTTTACAAGGAGTCATGTCTGCATTAACCACAATACTTGTGGTCAGAATGCAAACAAAAAACACTGATAATATATGCATTGTCTTTGAAACTGATTGGCCACACCAGTTACTCTGATAGTGGCATTGTCTTTGTGCTGAGCGCCTTTTGGCGTCCTCTGGTCTAACGCCTTTTGAGACGAGGCTCGAAAGAAAGCCGTCTCTGGTGTGGACCAATCAGTTTCAAAGACAATGCATTTATTATCGGAGTATGTTGTTTGTTTGCATTCTGACTCCCAAGTATTGTTGTTAATACAGACATGATTCCTTGTAAAAGGTTTCAGTTTGGGGTAAGAGAACAGCTGTCACGGAACGAGGGGATTCATTTAACGTGTCACTGTCAATGCTTTAGAACGATGACATTTTCTTTAGTTACACAACTTGCCTTGTTGCTCTGATAAAGACCCACGCATGTCGTGTTCTGGACACTGCGTGAGACACGACGTACGGTATGATTCTTCTTCGAACTGTTAATGTAATGTGGCACTCGACTGTTGCACGTTGCTGCGCCGTGTAACCCTTGAATGGCTTGACGATGACGACGACGACGACGAAAGAGATTGTGCCAGAAAGACGTGGGCCACTACTTGAGAATATTGGCACTACAAGACGCAGGGAAAGTGGAAACAACAAGTGACGAAATGTGCAATGGACTACCTACGGGGCTATCCGCCCCATGGATTGTGATGATGACGCACGACACTACACTGTTTTACAGTATACACTTCGCTGTGGGGCCGTCCATAAATGACGTCACGCGATTTTGGACGAGTTTTGACACCCTCCCCTCTCGTCACACGGCGTCACAAAAAGTAAGACCCCCCCCCCCTCAAATATGACGTCACAAAGCTCTGCCCCCCCCCCCAAAACCATAAAACATGCTTCAAATCGCTTTAAACTATTGTCATTGTAGTGCGTATTTAATGTGGCGCTGCATTCTGATGTTATAGGAGAAAACATTTATTAAAAAGTCTATTTAATTAAGTAGAACGTGTTGTCTATATTTATTTAAAGTTGCGCATTTTGATGTGACGTCACATTTCTCAACCCCCCCCCCCCCTCGTCACAAATGTCTGACCGCCCCCCCTAGGTGCATAACATCATTTATTGACGGCCCCTATACACGACTATGATGTGCACTCCTTGAGCATATTGGCACAAGTCAGAGGGAAAGTGGAAACAAGTGACAGTACGTGTCGTGGACACCTCCTGCCTCGACGTGTCCCACTTGGGATCCCAAGGGGGTGAGAATGCGAGTTCCATTGACTGGAATTCCAGAGGCAAACGAAATCAGCGTCAAACGCATGCGAAGATCATCACACACCGGACGCATTTTTTTTTCAAAAGTATTCTTTATTCACTTGCTATTTCAGACTAAAAATTGGTTGCATTACATGAAAGTCAACGGAAAACCAATTTTCAGTTATCACAAGAGTAGAAGTGAGGGGCTGACTTAAAATTCCCTGCATTTTTTGTTTAATTTGAACCACAGGATGCCGAGACATTTTCAATGATACAATAATCTGAGCCACCAATTTAAATCTAAAAAACGGCATCCTCTTTTAAACGACTGCTGGCCATTACAAACGATAACCACACAAATTCGATTCCCTGCATCTCTGCGTGACACATCTTTCTGTGTTTTGTATTTCTTCTTAGCACTAAAGTGCAGACAGTTCTTGTGTGTGTTTGTTTACGTTTAAAAATGTCGTGACAAATAAAGGTTTGGCAAGGTCTTATGTACACTTATTCAACTTCTCATCCGAGCAGACACGCACGACCCACGACTCATCCCACGAACGCAGCAAGCCTCGAGACTGCCCCACGGCACTCGGCAGTCTCCTCCACTCATCGCAGACACCCCCCCCCCCCCGCCCGCAGGCACGACCGTGTTTCTCTAAAATCTAAAATTCTACATCACAGCAGCAGGCTCACATCTACTCTCTCTCTCTCTCTCGCGCGCGCTCTCTCTCAAATCTGTGGACGCACTATAAAAACAATATAAGCAGGCGGAGGTGTCACTTAAGATGGATTTACAATGTACACAATTGGAACGTAAAAAGGGAGAGAGGTGAAAAACAAAACCCCGCACCCGTCCAGAAGCTGTTTTGCCCCACAACGGAACGAGGACCGCCAATCGATAGAAGAGTCGTGAAATGCGAGAGGGCGATTTGCAAAGACAGTCAGTCACGTTACACGAACAACGTAAGTAACATTTACATTTAAGGCTTACTCTGATGATTCGACGAATGTTTGTACTCCAGTGTGGAAATCAGAATCATGAGTTTCACATGATCGTCATCGTTGTTGTTTCCATCTACATCAACGTTCTAAAACGCGTTACGCAAACACCGTGGTTATTTTGTTTTTGTCAGGGCTGCATGTACACGGGCCGATATATACTGCATACGCGAGTAGCGGACATATACAGTATATATACACACACACATACAGCATATCGCACGCACGGGGTACAAGCGGTGGACACGGGAGCTATGAGGAAGGGATATTAATCGGTTGGAGAGACTCGCGCACACATCACTCGCATTTCATCATTCACCACCATCACACCAAACGTGAATGCGCTGCGATATATATCGACATCAGTTCATAAAGACGGGGCTTGAAAATAAGCCTAACACATTTGAGTTCGTGCGATTAATTTCATTTGTAAGTTGCCAACACACTTTGACCGCCGCCGCCGCCGCTCCTCGTGAACAAGCCCACACAGGGCACCGAGTGTCTCCCGGCTCCGCGACACGAGGAGCAAGGATCAATTCGTGCGCGGTGGACGCGAAATCACCGTCCTCCTCGCCGTCGTCATCATGGGCCGGCTCTGGAGGTCTCCAAGCGCCATCTCCCCGTGATCGCTAAGACGCCCGTTCGACAAACGCGCACCGTCGTTCGAAGCGAGCGCAGCCATCCCACGGGGTTTGGGGTCTGCCCGGAAAGCGGCAGCTTCGGCTTCTCCCAGCAGAGTGAGCGGCTCAACCCACGCGGCAGCAGCAGCAGCATCAACCAGAACGAAAACTGCGCGACGGACGAGTTCCATTCAAAAATGTCACTTTCCACTTCAACTGTCGTCGTCGTCGTGAAAACAAAACAAACACAAATCCGCGGAAGCTGCCGAGAAAGAGAGGGAAGCATCCGAGTGACGAGGAAGCGCTCGCGTCGCTGTGGACAGCAGGGGCCGCGCGACGCGACGTGGCTGTGAATCTGCGAGGTTTTCGTTCAGTCGCTGCTGCCTGCTGCCACTGCTGCCTCTCTCGCGTGCAAGCCCAGCACAGGTTCCCTAGTTCCATGACCCCCCCCCCCACGCTCTCCGCCCCGCCCGTGGCTCTCATTTCCTCCCTGGAGAGGCGACTCAAAGCAGAGCCCAACGCCGAGTTCGCGTCAAAGTTACCCCTGGCGAGCGCTCGTCTGTGGACGCCCAATCCCCACGGCGGCGTTTTGGGTGTCCACAGACAATCGGTAAAAAATAAAATGTGAATTGTCAAGACACTGCCAACACCATCTCACACAAGAACTGCGCCGTACGTACGCGCCACCACCTGTCACCAAAGAGCCGTGCGCGACCCTGGGCGGTTTTCGTTCTGAAAGTTCACGAATTCAGCTAAACCCATCGCAACCAACCAGCCACTCAACATGCATCTCAACGAGTGACTTTCCATGCCGGCTTATAACCCCGGCAAACCACAACTTGGGGACGCTTGATAAACAATCCACCACGGGGGGGGGACTCCGGCTGTCGGGGCAGGTCTAATTAAAATCAGAGCTGTCATCCTCCCGAGAAACACAAACAATGCAACCAAAATATCCAGCCAGGGAGCAAAGGTGGGTGTGGGAGTGGAGATAGTGGGGGGTTGGAGAGAGGTGCAAGACATTTCCAACGGAGACGAGGCGGCCGCAATGAGGCCATGTGTCAGTTCCCAAAAAAAACAATCTCAGTGACCCTTGCCAACAATCCGCAGTGAAATTCACGACTCGGCGAGTGGGCAGTAACTCGGGTTAAGTGTGGACCCAAAGCACGAGCTGCGGGTCATCTCTCTCCCTCTCTCCGAGTTCGTGTGAAACGCATCACCCACACGAACGACGACGCATGTCATCATTTACCCGACTACAACATTTTCCCGAAATCATGCGCTTCGTGAACATTTGCCACTCGAGCCAAAGTTGGAACAACCCCCTGCCGCTGTTACGGTCACCGCTTGAGTTGAGAGCAGCGCCATCAGCACCGGGCAACGATGAACCCCCCCCCCCACCCAACACGCGGTGCCCGGGTGTGGGCCAGAGATTTGTAATTCGCAGTAAAAATAAGCAAAATCACTGCCTGGGGTTTATACCGGTCATCCGTCAGCCTCGCGTTACGTCTCCTTATGTTTGGCGGGCACAGCTTTTTTCTTTCTACCCTACACGCGGGCACGATCTCCAAAAAGGTCTGAAAATAAATCTACGACTCCAGGGACGGTGGTGCTGGCTGTGGGTTTAGTGTTTACGCAAAAGCTGAAGAAGACTTCACCCAGAGCCGCATGTATTCACACACAAGACGTCGGGACGACTCGTGTCGCTAACACACCACCCCGTGCGTTACAAATTTGAGTTGGGTTTATATTTTATTACATTTGAAGCCTTAAATGCATTTTACTATTACTTCAAAACGTTTAATATGCACGAATGTAAAACTATTCCTCCACCAATTCATTTTCTTTTCTTTCCAATTTCACAGCAATGTAGGCCACGCGCTGTAAAATTCTCTCCAAATATCCAAGTCGAACTATGATGTTGTTGAGAAGGGCCATTACCCACACGACATTAATTACACGGATCTTCCAGCTGTGGCGAAGGGGTGGTTTATGCCCAGCGCTATGAACAACGACCACTGAAGTTTGATTCCTGGCCATAGATGCCACCAATGGCGAGCGATATCTGAATCGGGTCCTGGGCCCACCCTTCAAACGACCGTGGTCAACAAAACCCTACATCCGGCACGGTGTGTGGGGGGGGGGGGCCTTCACCCGGCAGTGGATTAACAAAGGGATGCAAATATGTTTCAGTTACATGGGTAATGTTAACGACAACGGTGGAAAAGAATGTTCTGCCTGTACCAAAACAATTATAATCACTGTAACATGTGCCGAGACCAACTCTGGCGGTGATGTTCGAATGGAAATGTTGTTTATGCAGACAGGTCACGTAGAGTCTCCCACCCCCCCCCCCCCCCCTCGTTAGGATGGCAAGACACCCGTTTATTTTTAAACGCCAATAGTATGAAAGTCACACGTTGGATGGGGGAGGGGGGCTGCTAACGAGGCCACCTGCCAAACAAACTGCACCTCAATCGCACGAGCGGGAGAGTTCCTGCCGCGTAATAAAAGTGTTTTTTGGAGTTAAATCGCGTAAGCAGAAATGTGTCGTTGACCCGCCACCACCCGCCACAGCTAATTAGTCAAGGTTGGTCACGTGAACAAAGGTGCCAATGTTTACTTGTACAGCACACCGGTGCGTTGGGAGAATACATCCGCATTGACAACTCGAGTATTGTGACGTTTCGCTGGCAATTCCATCCAGCACCATGGGGCGACTTTGCCAGAATAGTGACGCAGCAACTAATCGGCACGTTTTGTTCACGTGACAAGCCTCACTAACCGGCTGCCTTCGGGTGGCGGCGGGTTAACGACACATCGACGCTTACGCGATCTAACGCCACCACCCACCCCCCTTTATTACGAACATTGGTCGCGAAAGCCTCAATGCGTCTGCTGCGTGTGTGTGATGGACAGAGCTCCCCCCCCCCCGACGCGTTCACCACCCCCCCGCCTCGCAACTGAGGAAGCCCCCCAAGCGGAAGACGGCGGCCGTTCCGCGAATGGGGGGGGGGGGGGGGCAACGACATCGAAGTTTTACCGTTTTTCCAACCACCGCTGTACCTTAGGTCATAATAAATAACACAAACAAAAAATCCTATCCCCGCCCGCCCCCAACCTCCCGAACTTTGTAACTTTGTAACCACGTGTGAAAGCGGGCCTCACATTGTTCAGGGTGCAGAGGTGAAGTTAAACAGTGCAACTCGCGCGAGGAACGTCGCTGGAAACTCACCCTCGTATTTTAAATGTCTCCGTTTAATATGGCTCGCGGTACAGAGAAACAAACTAAGCTACTATTTAAACGATAGGTAAGGCCCTGGGAGGTATACAGCTCTTTTCAATTAGAGACCGAGCTGAACGAACTGTCGACCTATCATCACGTGTAAATTTACAGCAGCCAAACTCTAAACGCGTGATGTTGATTCTAAATGTGGAGGGGAAGAATCCACGCCACCACGGGGAGGACATGCCAACTCCAAATATACAGCAGGCGGTCAGGATCGATCGCTCGACCTCTTGTATACCAGGCGAGGTAGTTAACATTTCGCCACCGCGGCGCCTCTGAGGTTCGAATGTTTCACGTCAACCGATCGAATGCAACCGAGATAACAGTGGAGCACCGTTTAGAAGGAAACGCGCTGCTACGATACAATGCTCGTTACAACAAACATGGGCCCGCTAGTTTTCTTGTGGCAAGGACGAATGTATTATACGTAACAAAAAACTTGTTTTTAATAAGGCAGACAATGGATATTCCTCAAGTTACTTTGCACGTAATTGCTTAGATTTCCATTTATTTTCCAATGCTCCATTTGCCCCAATAGGTCTGAATCGGTCACATGTCGTTGACTGGATGGGCTCCGTGGATCGAGTGATTTAGCTGGGACAGATGGGAAAGGGGCAGTTGAGGGCGGTAAGGCTGCAAGAGGAAACGAAACACGCGAAAACGTGTTTAAAGTTTGGCTAAACTCGGGTCAATTTACACTCGACCACGGTGACGGTAAAAGCAATATTACTGACGAAAAATTCAAGTGGGTTGAGCCCCCTTCTTTTTGTTGTTGGGTGCATTGAAGAAAAGAAACGGATAACGTGCAAGCGACACAGATGCACTGTTTAAGTCGAGCTCTGCTGGAGAAAGCGCGCGGGTGCAAGGGGGCAGCCCCCCTCAATACAAAAGCGCCCTCCGGTGCACAACAAAGAAAAACATCCGCATTGTACTCATTTGGTCTTGCGACACTGGGATCCCTCCACAGCGCCCGTCACTCTGTACGTAGCAACACACACACACACAGCGCCTGTCCCCTGTAACATAGTGACACACACACACAGACTGTGCTGGGACGAGGGGGAACGGGCACGATCCGACAACAAAACCACCGTGATTTGGTTGGTCCGAGACTCTGGCCACTTGAACCTTCAGTGGCACAGAGTCGAGGAGGCCACGCCGTGACGGTGAGAGCCCACGTGGGGAAACGCTCCAACGAGGCCGACCGAGAAGGGGGCTTCATCGCCACACTTTGCATGGGGGGGGGGGGGGGATAACGACTCGGTTTTGACGCAACAGGTTTCATCACAAGTCCAACATTGTAATCGCGGTTTTTGTTTGTTTTTGGACGAGTCGGGGTGTTTTTGTTGTTTGTTACAGCATATCACACACGTTGACAAGCGTACACTTTTAAAAGATTGGGCTAACTGAATAAAAAAAAGTATTAATATTCTCTCGACAGCACGGAACGCGCCTCGTTCAGCGACTTGGCGATGTGGGGGACACACCCCCCCCTCTCCATCTTCGCCCACCCCCCGAAGCCGTTCTCTCCCTCTTTCATCTTTAGCTCAAAGATAAAATTCGCCACTCAGTCCAACTAAAAGTATATTTAAACCGCCTGCCATTCATCTACGACTATCCTACAAAAAAGCGAGTTCTCAGCTACTATGATCGTATGTTGTATGCAACCCACCCACCCACGGTAATTTTTTGTGTATTTTTACAAGGTCCGACCGATCCTTCCCCTTTCAAAAATTCCCACCGTTAAACTTTTATTACATTTTTAGTTATCATATATGTAGTCTGCTAAATCAAGTGTGCACGACATCTGTACAGAAGAAAACTGAACAATGCTTTCCCAAATCCAGCAACAAGCGACGGCACGTTATATACTTGTGCTGCGTATACTTTGCACAATGTACGCAAAACATATGCTCAACACTTTCACTCAGGCCGTGACGTAATGTGTATATATGAACGCAATGCAGAGGTCGCACCGGTGTCATTAGAGCGGAGGGGGGGGGGGAACACATTTTGATGCGGAAAAAAAAAATCGCACATTTTTGTGTCACATTGTAAACAAAAAAAGTTTAAATTTAAAGATTACAAAAAAAATACCCGCAAAAAAAACAACGCAAACAGTTGCCACGTTTCGGCATCTCAAGTTGTGTCTTTTTGTTTGTTTAAAGCCAGCTCCATTGTCATTTAAGTGGCGTGATCGATCAAGGGCCGGCGCGAGCCTCGCCCCGGCTCCTTTATTATTAATTCGGAAGCACTGCACCCACGTGGGGGTGGGGGTGGAGGGGTGGAGACGTGGCACTCGGGAGGCTCATGAGGAGGGGTCGTCGTCCCCCCCCCCCCCTCTCGTGACCCCTCTCACTTCATCCAGTCCAGCAGAGCTCAACCTCCCAGCCGTCCCAGCGCTGTTCACCAATTACCCAAGATGCACTGCAATCTTTTTACAAGCGGACAGTCCATCCCCTCTGGGCCCTTTGGGGGGGGATGGAGACCCAGAATTGGCTCAATTTTGGGATACGCCACCGCGCCTCGTCGGTTTGAATGGCCGCGACGTGGAAACGATTTTCGGGTGATATAACGGCACTGTCCAGCCCGTTCCGTTTACAATGTTTTTTTTTAGGTCACAATTAGCGATCTTAGAACGGACAATTTGAGTTAAGACGACGCTAGAGCACCGGCCGACGTCGAAGACCGATCATCTCTAGCAGTAGCCGTTTGCGAACCCGGAACAGACGGGCGCGTGAAAAGCAAGAGTCGGGTTGGGTATAAGTAGCGACTGGGGGGGGGGGGGGGGGGGGCTCCACGGCGGGGGAAAAACACCGTGGGGCATTCTGTGACCCACGCGAGAGAGGACGGTTGCCACCCTTCAGGCGAGTCAGAGCTGTCCGGCGGACAAAGCAGGAAGAGCTCGCAAGAGTCGATCTACAACTCGAGCGACCAGCAAGCAAAGGGCTACCCCCCCCACACTCCCATACAAAAGCCCAGCAGCACCCCCACTCTTCGCTATCATGGGAGGAGGGCGGGCGGCGGGGGTGGGGGGGCAGCCAATGGCGCAAAGAAATGGCCTACAAATGGAGATACACAATTGGTGGTGTTAGGAGGTATCTCCCCTCCGAAGGGTGCACGCGATGGGGAGGAGTTGAGTAGTTGAGTTATTTAGATGGGTTTTATTGTGTTCTATCGACAGCAATATTTCCTCATAGAGTCCATACGATTTTTTTTACACCAAAAGGCGCAACCATAAATTTAAAAAGAAATTCTTAAACTGACAATCGTATATTGTTAAATAATAACAATATAACAATAATGAGCTTATTGTATTATACAATTCGTATATAAATATGGGATCTCATAAGCCAATAGGTTCGTGCAATATTTGAAATCGTACTTTGAATAGTTTTTGACTGTTCCTTAAGCGTGTACATACAAAAGCCGGGAGTCTTGTATTAAATAACCCACCCAGATAGCAATGTTTACAAAACACTTCAACATATTACTACGCTATGGCTTCGTCAATTTGCCAAAATGATTTTATGAAAACAAAGAGGCAAATATTTTTTATTGGATAAAAATTGGGCGGGGGAGCCTCATTTGCTTTGCGATGTTTACAATTAAAGCAAACGCAACATTACGAACGCACATACGTGTACTCAACACGTAGGTTTCGACAGCCAGCGTTATAAAAGATGCTCGGGGTAGGAGGCCACGTAAATGATACCAGCCACACGTGCACGACGTGCTGGGGGGGGGGGGCAGGGGCGCCCAAACTGGCAGCTCGCGAGCTGCACGGGCAGTTTCAAGCGCAGATAGTTTTAAACTCCTGTCTTCATCTCAACTTTTATTTGAAACGGGGGCAAAAAAAAAGATCTGCGGAACCTCGCGCCCCCCCCCACTCCCGGGCAGAGGAGCCAAACACAAATACTTCTGGGGTGCTCCTGCAGATTTCTATATTTAAAAAAATGCCACAGTCAATCGGTGCGAGGGAACCGGCTCTGCATGGGCCAACAGGCCGTCCTCCTGTGAAGGTTTTGGAATGCGGCTCTCAAGCTCGGGAAGGCTTTGGCCACCCCTGCAAGAAATACTCGCGGACACCCGTCAGGCCAGCTGTGTGTCGGTGCACCACGACTTTAACTACACACCTTCTGCGGGGCCACGATTGGGAACAAGGCCCGCCTTTGTATTTGTTACCGCTTGTTTGACGTCACTGGCGAGGCCCCCACTCCCCAGAAAATAATCATAACACCAACCGAGATGCACGAGAATGACAATGAGGCCACCGGTCGTGTTTTCCTGAAGCACAATGAGGTTTGCATCTGTCTGCAGAGGACACAGATGCACAGATGGAAGCTACTGGCGGGATGCATTGAAACGTGGTTTGTGCAGCCTAGGCGATGTTTGCATCCCAGTGTTAAATGGCTCTTTCAGGACGAGGGTCGTCACCCTGTCCCTACTCCTCACGCAGCCTCAGCAACTCGCAAGGCTACCCTCGCACGCCGCCCGCGGTTTTGCCTTGCTCTGCCGTCGGTGACCAAGGCCCTGACGAGGAGGTGAGTTAGGGGCCGTGTGCCACTGTACATCAGTGGAGGGGACGACGATGGTCAAACGCAAGGCGGTCGGGCGGTCGCACGTTTTAGGAACGTTTGAGTGAAAGTCGCTGAGGAGAAAAATCTTGACGTAGTGCTTCGCTTCCTCACTTTGGGCACGCGGCAACATCGTTGCTGGGCAATGGGGCCCACGACGGTGTAAATTAAACAACGCGGCAGCGTTAGAGATATATTCTTTTACACAATTTGATGTGCGGCTACAACAAAGCAATTGAGTATCCATTAAAAAACTTTTGTTACAGTTGATAGTGATTCCAATAGTTGCTATCAATTGCATTTCTGTATTCGTGGAGGTAATTACCTTTTGATGGCCTTATGCATTTAAGACCGTTTAATACAGTGCAACTGGCCAGAAATCCTGGCATGCGTGCTGAATGGGTCAATGCAGCTGGAAGCTCACTGCATTATCGACTACAGAAATCCAGAGACTGACAAAGAAGCATCATTAGGTCAAGGAATCATCAATTAAGTTTTCAAATTAATATTGGGCCTTTCCACGTGTTTTTACATGGCTGACGAGTCTCAAAACGCGTTGTTTTGTCAGGTTGGCAAACGCATTTATTTGGGCTCTGAATGACTTTCATGGAGTGTATAAACATGAAAAAAAAACAACAAAATAAAAACTCAGCGTGATATATTTTCATGGTCAAGGGAGCCGAAATCGATACACTGTTGCGCATTACTCACTCTTTGGTGGAACTTGTAGAGTGACACTAGAAGGCGTATTCATTTACCGCTCTACCAGCGGCAAAGGGCTATCTCATCACATCCTGGGGATTCACGCGAGAGGCCGGGGGGGGGGGGAGAAGGGGAAAGCGGTGAAGGGAGGTGGGTGGGTTGGGTGGGGTCACACGTTTCCCTAACCCGCGAATGTGCCCGTGCCCGCCGTGGGAGCGCGCGTGGGGAGTTGCGCCCGCGCGTGGGCAGACAGTGCCGAGGACGGTGCCCGCGCGGGCGACGACGAGCCGGGCGTGCCGCCGGCCCCCCTGCCGCGTTGCTGGATCAACCGAGTGCCGTGTCTCTCCTCGCTCCGGTGGTCACGTCCCCTTGCCACCGCCGCCGCCGCCGCCACCGCCGTTACTGGTTCTGGAAGCCCGCCATGCTGAAGGTGGCTGGGCTGGGGATCAGACTGGCGCTCTGGCCCTGAGAAGGCTGGGTCCTGTAGGCGAAGGAGTTGCCCGCAGCGCTGCTCATCCAGCCTGCGGCCGCTGCGGCTGCGGCCGCCGGCTGCGTCTGCCTGCACCAAGCGAACAAAGAGCCCGTTAACACAAAGATCCCCCACGTGTAGCCTTAACAGACTGTTGGGGTAAGTGTCCCATTGGCGAGTAGCGCCTACGAAGGCCAGCATGGCACACGAGGGGGTGGCCAACAACACGACCGGCCGCCTTTGTCTCCCCGAGTGGCGACGTTTACACACCGCACCAGGTACTCATTTGAGGCAGAGTTGACCTAGGGGAGGCCCAGGACTGATTCAGTTCATCGTCACTTGTGTTGACCGCGAGCGAGAATCGAACTCAGGTCGCCGGGTTCGTAGTGCGGCGCGCTAACCGCTAGGTTACCGCTCCCCTGAATAACCCAGCCACTGAAGCACACGCTCACCACCAGCACCACCACCATCTGCTGCCTGTGCGCACTGAAGTAAGCACCACGTAGCGTGGTCGGTGTCGGCACCCACGGAGGACGTGCCCAACCTCCCCTCCGGGACGGACAGGGGCGCCAATAAACGAAGGTCCTAGTCCACGCAGTGTGCAACTCACCGATTCACGTCAGCCACTCGCTCACCAGAGGTCCGTCAAAACCTCCTTGGCACTCTTCTATCCATCGCTATTACCACGGTTACTGTACTCGTGAACTTCATCCCACGCCACATTGGGTTCACTCACCACACACTGCAGGCAACACTTCTCTTTCTACTTCTCCTCTCACACGGCTCCCTCCACTTGAGAATTCCCTCCCATAGTCTCTTTTCTCTTCTTCCCAAGTTTTCAGAATAACCTCGCTCAAATTCAAGAGACGTGCTAACCGCTCATCGATTACAACTTGGATAACGACACTGTTTGTTGCTGCCCACTTGGAAGTGTGGGACCTTGGGACCTGTGCTCAGCAAACTGTTTAAAAAAAACCAATGAAATAAGTCTTGTAGCGATGTGTAAGAGATAAGGCAATAAGGGTGATGCTACTTCCAGCTCAGTCGCCCACTGTGAGATGTGCCACTTGGTACAGGGGTTCTGCAGTAGCAACGCAAGCCCTTTGAGCCACCACCTCAATGCCGACTACAACGAACCTGTGACTGCAGTAGCCCTTCGTGGCAACTACATTCGCCACGGTGCCGTGATGGTAGTGATGTAGCCTCCACAATCTCCGCGATTTGTGTGGTTGGCTACATACGGTATGAAATAAGTTCAACGTACGTACGTACGAGAAACATTTTTTTGTTTCCTAGAATCTTGAGATTCGTCACAGCTGCCAAGGATAATAAGTGAGTAAAAAAAAATCAAGATCCTCATGACTTATGGAACGCCGACGCAGTGCGCGAGTGTGGATGGGGATGGTACTTACTCTAAGCTGTAGCCCTGCTGGTTCCAGGCCTGGCCGTACATGCTGTACTGTGGGACCTGCCAGCCGTTGTTGATGAACTGCTGGTACTGCTGGCTCCCTCCATACCAGGGCCCCCACTGGGTCCACGGCTGCTGCGTGTAGCCCACCTGGCTGAACTGCTGAGCGAGACGAAGGCACGGCGCGTCGTTAGTGTGAAACGCACGCGAGTGTCTGTGCGTGTGCGCCGAGTATACACGCGCTTTTTTACGTATAATAATGGCATTGGAAATGTATTGTCAGAGAAGGATACGGAATCTAAACTGGACGCAAAGGGTGACCAACGTAGAAGCAAGAAAAAGGTTGCACATAGAGGAAGACCTGATGCAGTCAATGATGGAAAGTAAACTGACACTATTTGGACACATATGTAGGATGCACAACAACAGGAAAATTTAATGTGTGTCGCTCGGAAAACTTGAAGGAACCGGAAAGAGAGGAAGACCTCACAGGTAATGTCTTGATGACAAGAGAGGAGATTGGTGCCAGAAAGATGTATTACTACTTGAGCATATTGGCACAAGACAGAAAGGAAAGTGGAAACAACTGACAAAATATGCAGTGAACACCTATGGGCTATCTGCCAATGGATCGTGATGATTATTACATACACACACACATTAAAAAAGATCCATTAAGAGAAACGAGGTACAAATACAATAGCCTGCTTTGGGATCGGCTGGGAGACGGAGCAAACCGTTTTGGGATCAACGTGCAGTGGGTGGTTCACGCAAACGATGAGCGGGCGAATCTCTCCTTGTTCTCACAAAAAAGAGACTTTCAACATCTCACACTTGGCCTGGATGCGCTGTGTATGCATGTATGTGGGGGGCCGTGGTGCTTCCGTTCATCCACAGCTGTCTGGGGCTGCCGACAGCAACCTGTTGATGTGGGCCAAAGTCGGGCCACTTTCAATCGCAGGCCAATGGGGCCCGTTTTCATACCTGTGCCCAGGCCCAGCAAATGACTGTTCATTGATAATTCACCTAATGCGACGCATAACAAAAATAGTACCACCACTGGAAATTCTACATTCCTATGGTGGGGAAAAGTTATACCATATGACAACCACTTGTGACTTCCCACAAAGTGGTATTCATTTTTATAGAACTACGGGAAGAGAAGGCACGAATTGACTTCTCACCGGGATTTTGACTCAATGATATAATGGCAACGCAGAAATATTCACTTAAAAATAAAAAAGCCAACTGTCCCGTAGAAATAAAAGAACCCAGTGGCCAATCCAGTCTCCATCCAGACGGCAAAGAGAAATGGCAATTGGTAACAAATGGGAGAGACGCAATAGGCAGAACGTCTCGCGTTTCAAGCGGCGTCGCTCACCACCAACCACAAGATGGCGCTTCTCAGCAGCAGGCACCCAACACTGAGTGGGAGTCATTGATCCACTCACTCTCTCGGGCATGGAATTGAGGCTCGATTGAGTAAAACACCACACACAGCTTTGTCTTGTCGTGCATGCGACCATTGCGGAATGCGCAGGCTAAGAGATTAAACCCGTGACACACAACCTGGTTTAATCATGGGTCGGAGCCTGAGTGTTCATCTCAGCCGCACAGGCTCACAATACCCTGCTGTGGGAATTGGCTCCTTGTATTTATGTAGAACTTCTTTCGCACCGTGGATAGCCAACTATGCCACAAAACAGGTCCCCCCTCCCCCCCCAGTATACCTAACAATAAGAATGGTGACATACACCCAAATGAGTGCCAATGCTCAACCGACTTCCCACCAGGATTTGAACTATTCTGTACAATTAAAAGAACACAGTGGAGCTGAAAGTGACTTCAATTAGTCAGGGTGACTAAACTGGGGCGCCGCAGTGGCGAGATGTTAACTACCTCGCCTGGTATACAGGAGGATATGGGTTCGATCCTGACCCTGACGCCTGTATATTTGGAGTTTGCCTGTCTCTCTCCCCCGTAGTCATGTGGATTTTTCTCCAGGTCCTCCGGTTTTTCCCTCCGTACTTAGAAACATGCGTTTCGAGTATGTGGCTGCTATAAATTTCCACATAAGCCATTTTTTTGTTGGGCTATCATTTGTGGCCGGGTCACTTCTGAAAAAGAGCGACATAGCCGAGTGGGCCTTTCCTGGTAAAATAAAAAAAAGTTTAGTTTACAATAAACCCTAACCCATTACATTGTAGTTGAGTGAAGACATGATAATGCCTGAAGCTCTGATAAGGCGAATGCCGGTACCTGCTGAAACTGATTCACAGGGTCCGACGCCTCCTTCCCCCAGAAGCACTTGACACTGAAGCCCTCGATGGTGCTGCCGTTGACCGACACGATGGCATGGGCGGCACTCTCGTGTGTGGCAAACCTGTAGCGCAAGAAACATACAGATATATATCCGTTTAAGCCAAAGGTTTCTAAAAGTAAATAAAAAAAGTGCTTCGGCCAACAGATTCATAAAATGTGTTTGCTGCAACTGTCCCATGTTACCCATCTCCATAAACTCAAAGACGACCAAAGGATTAGCAAATTAAAAAGTATGCAAAGAGAAGTCCTAACCCGCCAACCTCCATATCTTTGATTAGGCCACGCAGCCTGCAGTGATTATAGACAAGGAAGGTGCCTGCTTTGTGCTGTGAAATAAACGGCTAAGCATTTTAGAACGTAAAGTGACAATAAGAAACAGAGTTATTCAGCTTTCCTATGCAATACACACCAACCATGTCCATACAAAACCAGCCATGCTGGATAAAGCCGTAAGTTGTCTTGCCAACTACATAACCCCAACCAGCTAATTGGAGTGTGGGTTGCTTTAGCCAACAAGATCAAATTTCATTTGCTGTTTAAACAAAGTTATGCGTTGCAGATCTGACAAAATTTCACGTCCCAAGTGTTCCCCAATGTGTACCCGAGCAGCAACACGGACAACATTATTGCTCGTAATATCACACAAAAAAGCGCACAATTTAACTTTGGCTTCAGCGACTGAAGAGACTAATGTGAGTGAGAGTATATAGCTAAAGCTTCCGAATTTCTGTGTTTTCCATCGCAGCCAGACACCAGGGGACGTTGCGTTCTTATTTGCAGCCAGATGATGGCCTCAATCCAGTCGAGAGGTGTACGCACTGCTGGGTGCGTGGGTGTTTGCATGGTCGAGCGAGCACACACAGTGCACGTGACGACGGTACCACACGTGTGTGTGCGCACCAACTGTAACGGTGAGTGGTTGTGTAGCGGTTAGCGCGCTGCGCTAGGAACCTGGCCAAACACTAGTGGCGATTATCTGAACTGGTCCTGGGCCTCCGCTAGTACCCGGTGCGGTGTGTGAACATCACCACGAGGGAGACCAAGGCGGCCGGGCGTGCTGCTGGCTGCCCACCACCTCGTGTGCCGTGCCGGCCTTCATAGGTGTTCCTCGCTAACAGCACTTGCCTCAACAGTGTGTTATGGCTACATGGGGGATCTTTGTCTTTGTGTGCACCAACCGTATAAAAGAGTATCCTTTGTCCGGGAACACCCGGATCTCCAAGATCTGACCGAAGAGCAGGAAGGTCTGACGCATGAGTTGCTCTGTGGTTGGGCAAAAATAAATGGATCCATGAGAGGGCAACATCGTCAAGCACGAGCATCGAACAATACAACTCACCCCACTGACACTACGCTGTTATCCCTGTGGCCATATGAGTGCACTTCCAGTCAATACTAAACGCAGTGTAAGATTTGAAGCCATTCGCCAGAACAGCAAAGCCTCACGGAGCCCCGTAAACATCAATAAATATTACACGGGAGTTGGTATATGTTTGGCTTAATAGAGTGTTTTGAGCGTTTCAATACCTGGAAGTAACCGACAGATTAAAAAATAAATTTTCGTAAAAATAACACTGATTCCATACGTTAATACCCAAGACAATTGTCAATAACACTGCCTTTGGAGGCTGTATGGAATTGTGCACCACTGCCAATGCTTTTTTTTCTCTTCTTGGTTCTTTCGGTAAAGTCACGTAGAAGGGAAGTAATAAAATAATAAAAATAAAACATAATAAAATAATATAATGCTTTATTGCCAAATGATCGGTTTAATTCCATAGAGATGGACCACAGGGGCATCTTCTGTTCCGCCTACAGACACACACATCTTTGCTGTCCTGCAGGTGGGAATCTCACACAAGAACTCCATCGCCACTTTATTCACCCCCTGCCCCAAGCCCTTCGCAACTGAAACCACGTGCTCCTTTTCATGCATGTATTCCTGAGCCCTTGGGAGATTTGTCTTGAAATTATAGCATTTGCCAATAAACCGTTGATAATTTTTTGTTTGAAATAGAACGAAGCGTTTAAAAAAAATGTTTGCCACAAAATAAAGGTGACGGCGTAGCTGATTGGGCATCGTCTCTCTCCGTCATCGTCACGGATGTGGGCGTCGGGCAGAATTTATAGGATTTAGTGCCACTGGTTGAACGTCGGTTTAAGGTACAATGAAGATCTCCGTGATATTGTTTGAGTGTTTAGCAACTCAAAGAACTTAAGGAAAAGGTTAAGAATTCTGGGGTACAGATCACCACAGACCACATCAAACTAACATTATTACAGTTCAGAATCAGAATCTTTATTTAGACTGGAGGAATCTGATGAGCTATATGAAGTTATTTTTCACAGATGTCCAGTAAGGGAGGCGGGTCAGCAAATGACATAAAAACATTATGCAAAAAAAATCGATATAAAAGCAAGACAGAGACAAGTTAAGCCAGTTTCTCATAAATATATTTAAAGTACAGAAGTATAAATTGGCACAACTCTGGGCAAAGGCCTCTCTTCTCTCCCCTCCTTCACCATCCCTTACCACCTGCATCCACTGCACGCCTCCCCCCACATAGTCAAACCTCGTCCCACCATCTCAGCTTCTACCGATCGTTCTCCTACCCTCCATTGGCTTCCAGCACGTTGTGAAAATGTTCCCATCTGACGCCCTAGCAAGACGAGATGCTCCGCTCCATTTGTGTTTATTTACTTTGCAATTACATGGGTGATCGTCGTTTTAACTCCAACATCTTCATTCGTCTTATAATCCCTGCCCTTATGTTTTCAAAATCCTCCTCTCTCTTGCTCTTTGGTAAACTTTCTTTCATAGACCAAGTTTGTGGCCCATATAGTTCATGACCGGTACATTAGCTCACTTTTTAAACAGAACAAAACATTTCCAAGTACTAGTAATTCTATTCCTGTATTGACAAATGATAAACTATTTTGTATATGAAACTATTTATCCTAAATAAGAATATTAATGTACAATTTTAAGTTATCCATTATATAGTGTTTTTTTCCTGAAAACGAGTAAATAAATTTTAGTTGTTTGAAATATTTTAAGTCCTTCAAAAATATGATTATCATCCTGTTCTTTTATCTCTTCCAGCAAACGTTTTAATTAAATTCTCTGATTGTAAGAAATCTCAAAGTTTTATTTTCTCACACTTGATCGAACAGCCAGACTAAAGCCTCCTCAGGAGTGTCAGGGTATCGTGATTTTTTTTTTACCCAGGGATCGTCGGCAACCAAAACAAACAATTTTTTTTTTCGAATTCGACAACAACAAAAAAAAGCCCTCAATATGTCAAGAGCTGCAATGCACGCGGTGAATACGATACAGTGGATCTTGACTAAACAACGTCACGAAGCGGTCCTTGAAGAAGAGCAGGTGCATACGGATCTGGAGCTGCAGGTTGCCGACCTCTGGTTATTTCCCAATGCGAGTCACTGATCCAGTGCACACGGTCGTCACGGTGGTCACTTGGCCTCACCTGTGAGTCCCTGGGTGATGCCTCCACAGTAGACGGTACAGTTTGTGGGGCTTGACTGATTGAGAACCTCTTCGAATGACAGGTGCTTGGGGTCTGCAAATGGGAAACACGGACAGCCAGATGCTTAGTGGCATGGGCGGTGAACACCGAGGCATAGAGTTACAATATAAACGCAAATATTTAATTTTACCAGGTAAAGCCCAATGGAGCTATTAGCTATTTTTCAAAAGCAACTTGGACACACATGACAGCTCAACGAAGTGGCGTTATCATGTGGAAATAATATAGCAGCCAAATACTTTAAACGCATGTTTTCTAAATGTGGAGGGAAAAACCGGAGGACCCAGAGAAAAATCCACGCGATCACTGGGAGAACATGCAAACTCCAAATATACAGGCATCAGGGTCAGGATAGAACCGATGACCTCCTGCATACCAGACGAGGGAGATAACATCTCACCACCACGGCGCCCCAGCTTTGTAATGTATGGTCCACAATTGGTAAAAATCTGTTGAGTGGTTTTATTTTCAAAAGGCAAGACTTCATTGAGGGCCTGAGACAAGCGTCAGGTTAAATCTGCATATATCACTCCATGATGCTTTCCAAAGAAGAAACAAAACTCACAGTAAAGACGTGTATAAAGGTAGTGCTCACACGGGATGGATATAAAGCTTTTAGAATATGAACAAAAGTTGAAACTTAACCACACGTCCACACGCAACTGTTGAGAGTACTTCATTTTTCATAGTCACCTGTTTTTTTATACATAAGCATATTCATATGGGAGTTCAAACCAACTACAATTAGTCAGGGTGATTAAAATACAATCAAGCATTTTGACATTCTGTTCCGGAATGCACATGAATACAAGCCACCCCGGTGATTACCTATAAAGCCACCGGTGGTTTTGGATGGGTGGAATCAACCAATAACATAACAATTATTCTCCTCTGGCATCCTATTCAGTGGTACCGCTTCACTCATCACTCAGTTAAAAGTGTTAGGTGTCGCGTTTGCTGCGCACGATGCTGGGAAGCCAGTAACACCCCTGTGCCGGACACTTTTATGAACAGCAGCAAACAGCAGCAGCACAACCGGATGGCTAGTGGCGTGATGCAATGTTTCATCATCATTATTATTTGCCAAAACTGGAGGCGAGCAGTGGCTAAGCCCTTCGTGAGACTGCGACTGCTGGCGTTCTGACAGGGGAGAGGTTACGACGAGGGCGGGGGTGGTAGCAACTCACTGTCCTGGGAGCCTTTCGGAGCTGGGGGCTTGCGAGTGGCCCAGTTGGTCCGGATTTGCCGGCCTCCCAGCCACTGGCCCCCCATCTGCTGTATGGCGTTCTCCGCGTCCTTTTTGTAGGGCACGCGTGCGGCGAGAGAGGGCGCGCGTGCGCGGGCGGGCAAAACAAACGCACATACAGTTATACGGTGCGTCACCGCCGTGCCGCAGCGGCTCATCTCCCACGGTTCACCACAATGCATGCTTTAAACGCAGCGCCGGCACTCAACGTCGGGGAAGGCAGACGAAAGAAAAATATTGAATCATGGGTTTACACTACGGCAAACAGGCAAGCGCACACAGGTAGCAACGTTTCTACTGCACGGTGATCACATCTCAAAAGAATTGTAAACAAACAAAAACATTAACAAAAGCAAAACATGAGCCTTTAAATCAAGTCACAGGCACACAACTGCTTCAGCAGAGAGGAACCAAAAACATTTAAAAAATCATTTGGAAATTTAACAACCCTACGTGTAGAGTAACAATTAAAACATAAAAAAAATTAGTTTTAAGAAAAACTAGGGACGTCACCTCTGCACTGTCCGCAGTCCGCCCGCGTTTTGACTTACCAGTTTCTGGAAGAAAGAGACAAAACCATATCCTTTAGATTTGCCAGTGGCCAAGTCTTTTACTACTCGTGCGTCGCTGAAAAGAAACAAAAAAGCAGCATGTTCAGGCACACCGCATACGTTGCAAGCGCTGCCCAAAGGCCAACACACAGATGCATACAGCCCCACACATTACTCGCTCAAAGCACCCAACGTTTAACAATGCGACTAAGAATCCAGTGTAAGTCATGCACAAGTGCAATAATGTACAAGTCGGTTCTAATTAAGCTTGCATGTCACAGTGAATGTGTTGCAAGTTAACGAGACATGCGCTCTCACTTTATTAAAGATTATAACTACTATGACATCTACCACCTTTATGACGTACGTGTATATATTAAGATAAATGTGTATAGATACAAAAAAACATACAGCGGAACCTGCTTAATGCCAAGATATCATCTCAAATGAAAGCCAAAAATGTAAAGAGTTGATATCATTAAGGCATGCGCAATAAAGTCTGGTAATCATTAAGGTGTCCTCATTTCAACAAGCTCTGCACCAGAGCAAGCTGAGCGGTTGGACAGCAAGTAGGTTCCACGATGTGTTGAACGGTGTGAACAGTTAAAATAATAGAGAGGAATTAAAAGGCATACATCGCCTGTTAACAATTCTTATTTTCCCGGGAGGGCCCACTCTCTCTCTCTACCCTTGTGCTTTTGGGGGGTGTGGACAGCTGTAAAATTAAAAAAAGAAATCGAAATGTTTTTCAGAATGAGTGCACGAGGACTATCAAAATTATTTATCAAAAAATACAATACAAGAGACAAAAAAACCAAGCAAACCGACACTCAAAAAGGTGACAGGCAATAATTACAAAGTGACGTAGCAAACATAGTACTGTCAATCGTGCAAAGCTGCATCAAGTTCGATCGTGGCACATCGTTAACACTTTGCGAAGACCGCACAGCAAAATAATTGAATTTACGTATATTTACGCGACACGTTTCTTTAAAAAAGAAATTACACTGTTTTAATTAACGATTTGTATTTTACATAATGCGCTCAAAATACTTATACAGGTTAACCATAAAAGACCCCTGGCAAAAGGTAAATGATGAAGAGTGTGAAAACTGTCACTCTGGCTGGAGACCCGAATGAAGGAGGCCAACGTACACGAATGTAATTGGGGGCATACGGGGACAGAGGCTGCATTCTGCCTACGATGGCTGCTTCATTTCAGCTATGCCCACTATACCGAGCACTAACGCCAACAACATACGCTCGAAACGACGACGTTAAAAACCCACACGTGTCAACTTCATGATAAGGCCAAAAGCCTTGTCCCCCCCCCCTTCTCTACCCACCACAATTCTCCTGGTATAGGAGAGACTGCAACAGTGCCACTCGTGTCCTCATCATTTGAGCTGCCAATATCCGTAGAACCAAACGCTCCCCCCCCCACCTCAACTGCGCTGCCAATGACGAACATACGACTGGGGGGGCTTTCTCCTCTTCATGCTGTGGACGCACACCACCGTGTTGATGAGCATACGTCCCTGGGCTCAGAACGCGCGCGAACAAGGTGGCTGGTGATTGCAATGTGCCCGGTTCGAAAGCTTTAATTCGTCCATTGCTTTTATGTTTAAGCCTACAACAGTCTATCGCAGGGGCTGGCAACCTGCGGCGCAGCAGCCGGCTCGTTAAGGACAGCTTCGTCTCGTTACTTATTAAGGACCACCTCGTATTCAGATGCATTGTGGCCCTTGAGTTTATCACGTAAGCCAAATTGAGTGGGGAATAGATATCCATTGTTAAGGATGCACGCAAGTAAATATTCAATCACTGGGCATTGTCCTTAATGTAAATGACAAGTTCAATATTCCCAAAAGGATCTGCAATGGAACCGTGCAGCAGTGCCATCGGGATTGGCTGAGTTCCGGTGCGGGGTGGGGGGGCATTTTCTACTCTCCATGGACTCAAAAGATTTGAAATAATAGGGGTCACACAAGGTGGTCAAGGGTACGAAAGTTCACTTCTGAGCAAAGGAAATGATGACAAAAAGGTCAGCGTTGGCTCAGACATTCCCCACTTCCAAGCGTGAACCTCATGGCCAAAAAATGTAACGCTCACCTATGACATCACTGTTTGATAGCCAGCCTTGCCGAGGTATTGTTATAAATATATTTTTTATAGTGACTAAAGTAAAACAAATCTAAATCAATTACCTTCATAAAGGAAGACAATTTGGCAGTTTGAATGGCTTTGTATACTAAGCCATCTGAAATGTTTGGCCGACTTTATTGATTTATTTTGTCAAGCTAATGGCCGTGTCTCATTTCCTGAAAAAGTTCACCTCTCTGAAGCAGTCTTTTTCTCTGTTTGGATGCCTATTAAGTTTTTAAACAGGTTTAGAAATATGGCCATGGCAGGTGCTCTATGCTCAAATGCAGGGGGTTCAAGTTATCTTCCCAATTTGTGAGTTCATGTATTGAATAATTTTTGCAAGTATTTTTAATAGGATATTCTGAAGATTATCTGTGAAAGGGAATCTAAATTTTAGAGGACATGATACAAAGCCAAAATTGTTTCCCATGATTTTGAAAGATAACGTTATTATGGAAGGCTGTTTCAAATGTCATTTAAGAGAGTTTGTTGGCATGCTTTTACATTTGGACAAGTTGATTGTGAACAGTTGGGTTAATGGCAATGAGTTTAACTGAAAGAGGGGGTTTTACAGGGGTGCTTTGGAGCCAGGGATCACTTCAGGTTTAATAAATAGGATCACCTGATGGCATTATAAGGAAGCAGCTGGACCAAGTGTAGACAGAGAATGATTACAGGTAGCCCAGTTCCAGGTATTACCCGAACCCTAGTCACTAGTAGCTCGAGAATTTCGGTTAAGTTTTTTATTAATCCATCCATTAGTTACCATAATAATTTGCATAAATACCCCCCCCCCCCACCCGCTCCAATTCAGAGTAACTATTAATGAGTTCTTAGAGATTCATCAGATTGTGGGGCAGATGATGCAGGCAGGGTTTCAGAGACACAGAAAAAAATCCCGGAGTTAAAGTGTCAATAGTTATGAGAATAGGTTTTTCCCTTTTTTCTGGCAACAAAACAGGTGTTAAGATGTTAAAACACCAAACTGAAATCTTTCACAAGGAATCATGTCTGGATTAACCACAATACTTGTGGTCAAAAATGCAAAAAAACGTATTCTGATAATATATACATTGTTTTAGAACCCGATTGGTCCACACCAGAGACAGCTTTCTTTTCAGCCTAGTCTCAAAACGGTGTTAGACCAGAGGACGCTAAAAGGCGCAAAAAGGGGAAAACCTATTCTCATATTTTGGTACTGGCAAAGGAGGTCCCATGATGTCAATAGTTAATTAAAGGAATAACATATTGGCCAGATAACTCCTTGCATTTACATTTGGTTTGGTAAAAAAAAATCAAGTCCATGCTGGCTATTCACTCGCATCCGAAGACGAATAAGAGAACCTGGGCCTGCAGGAGATTATATGCCGACTGAAGTAAATACCACGAGGTCGACAAGAGCTTTGAAGAGGTGTGTTAATGCTTTTTTCTATCCCTAAAAAAATAACTAAAATATTGAAAGTGTCTTTTATTCAAATTAGGATTTATTTGGAATAATAACCCAGAAGGTTTCAACTTGAGGTCCACGAGATTACCTAGCACTTCCAAACTATATGTTAACATGTAATAAACCGTAAGCCAATTGTCCTCAATGTTACATTTAATACGTATTTTAAAATTGGCAACAAACTAAGTCATTGACTAAATCCCTTCAAGCAAATTGAGAGACCACTTGAGATGATACACAATAACCAACGCCTGTGAAAGATGCCACATGGTCTTTAATGTCCACTTAACAGCCGCCGGGGGAAGCTTTGGAATTCCCCATAGAAATGAATGGGGAACTGGAGATTAAATTGCCGACTCAGAGAAAACCCATTCTCAATAACACGTGGAGAATACCCAAAGGGTTCTAATTATTAAAGTACAATTAGCATCTCATTTGTATAGTTATACATTCACCGCATAATTGTTTGTCATTAATTCTACTCCCATATTGCCTTTACCTTTACCAATGGCAAGATGAGCAAAAATTGAGGTCACAACAGAAAACCATTGGGAGAATTTCGCAATGGGATTAATCGCCGGTAACCCCAATTCTCTTTCAACCTGACTGGCCAAGTGACAGAACTAGATTCGAAGCTTTCGTGACTGCAGGAATTAGTGACAGAATTTTAACAATTTCGCTCGATAGATGAAAGGTCCTCCTCTACCCGGCATGGCACAAACGCGTTGTGCGCAGTGCATGCATCTTTATCTGGTGCTATCATCGTCAGCCTTGGCAAGAAGAATTTTTTTCGTCTGAAGATAGAGCCAATTTATTATTAACTGCACAAAAGGCAATAATTGATATGCTCTCAGGGTTGATTAATAAGTCACAGCCGGAGGAAATGAGGCAAACTGTAATATCGTGTCAGAGGCTGATTATTTTTAGCCAATAATAATCTTGAGCTTTTAATTGTCCATTAATTAAGCCTTTCAGGGCTACAGCCAGGGAGTATGACATTGACAAATGCTGGGCCAAAATCTTGCAAATAGCCATCAGTGCTCAACTAGACGGATTTTACTGCGCCCTCAGCAGCAGCCAATCACTGTGGACAAAATCAATGCTGTATTGCTTAGTAGTATATATATTTTTTTGTCTGAAGAGCACCTTTCCACTTTGCAGCTTTCAAGAACAGAGCAGCCGACACTTTCATCTCAATCGAATAATGTTAGCGCTCCACCCGGTGTGCCCTTCGTGCGCTGCCACCAGTGGCGTTGTGGTGGCGTCCAGCTATTATTGCCATGGCGACAGACGTGCCCATTGCCGGAGAGGTTTGTTGTGCCAGGAGAGGCCTCCACTTTGAAGCTGTGGTTGGGTGAAGGGCGCAGGCGTGACGCGTTGGTTCCCGTGCACTGCGCCACAAAACTCGGTGACGTAAATTAGGTTTCCGGTCGTGGTTGATGTCAGTGGCGAGTAAGATCTGACAGAGGTCCCGGGGCAGGCAACCCGCCTTCACCGAGCGGCACTGACCCAACTTTTTATTCATTTATATGACCAGATAAGGCCCCACTGAGCTGCGTAGCTCTTTATCAGAAGCGAGCTGGCCATCGTGAACGATAGCAGCTCAAGGAAGTGGGCTCATCGTAGCGCGAAAATGTACAGCGGTAACCAAGTACTCCAAATGCATGTTACTTAAAATATGGAGGGAAAAACCAGAGGCTCCCGGAGAATAATCTACATGATCACAGCGGCGAAGGCTGGGCAATGGATCCCCGTGGCCGGCAGTCGAGTCTTAACGAGTAATGGCTTAAGCTTATTTTGCTGCTATAAATTTCCACGTGATAAGCCACTTTGTTGAGCTATTATTTCGGGGCCAGGTTGTGTCTAAAAAATAAGTTAATATCTCAGTCGACTTTACATGGTAAAATAAAAAAATAATTGTTTACCTTTCCTATACTTTACACTCCTATCGTGTTTTTATATTGTTTTTTGTCGTGAAGTTCTGACTTGCCTCGACTGAACATCTGCGCAAAAGAGCTTTATAGCTCAACGGAGTCCTCCAGTATAAATAAATATTCAGATTCTCTAAATGTGGGGATACGACTGGTTTTCTACACATCCGCTGAAGAACAGAGCCGTTCTGCAACCAAGCAAAAGCACTTTGCTAAATGGATTTCAAGCGTAAATGCTGAACAGACCGAGACACCTGCCGCCAACCTGGATTATGTAGGGAAACTAATGGAAAGCTCAGTGTTCGTCCGTACCGCTCCCCCCGCCCCATCCACACACACCGACCTAATCAGGGTTCATTACGTACGAGAAACATTCACTTAAATGCACCATAAACATTATTCACACCTCATTGACTCGATAGGACATGAACGAATGGTCCTGACAACTGAAGCTGCCCATGCCAAGTACAGGAGGGGTTGCTTCCAAGGACAAACTGCATTGATACTCCGGCAATGACTGCCCCAAAGTGCCAACGCTAAATCACAGTGCTCAGTGACTTTTAGGATCACCGCATAATGTCTTTGTAAAAATCGATTCGTTAAGCTTCTGGTTACTTTGCACTAAGCCTGCAGCCTTAATTACAAAAATATCAAAAATTTATAATATATACAGTAATAAAAAAAAGGTTTACACTGCATTCATGTCTATACGAGCAACTTCAACATCTTCTTGGTTCTTTCGGTAAAGTCAGGTAGAAGGGAAGTAATAAAATAATAAAAATAAAACATAATAAAATAATTCTCACGACGTTTCGGCCACAACGCAAGCAGCCGTCCTCAGGTGCTGCTTGTGTTGTGGCCGAAACGTCGTGAGAATTATTTTATTATATTTTATTTTTATTATTTTATTACTTCCCTTCTACGTGACTTTACCGAAAGAACCAAGAAGATGAATCCCTGCAGTCACGAAAGCTTTAAATCGAAATTCAACTTCAACATTTCTGTGCCGAACGAACAGACAAAGTGAGAAGATGTCAAATGAATGCAGATTTCCCTCGGCAGTAACGGCACGCCGCGCACCCGGCGCAAGCTCTCGTCGTCGTCATCGTCGTCGTCTTTGCGGCACTTACGAGATTTTACCGAAGGGAGCGAAGGCCGCCCGGAGATCATCGGTGGAGATCTCTGGGCTCAGGTCTCCCACAAACACGTGATAGTGATCTGCAAACATCACACCCGGTAGGAAGGAACAAACAAAAAAAACAAGGGCAAACGTACCTCAACATCATTTCATCTCTCATCCCCCGCTGCTGCTGGTGGAACGGGTGCACAGGGAGACGGTGGGGGGAGGGGGGACAAAGCAGAAGCCTGCAAAAGCTCAGGTGTGAGAAATCCCCCCGTTCGCACGGCGCTCCTGCGTCACCGAGGGTAGCGGTTTGCGGCCTCCACCTCCTTGCCGCTTTGCCTCTCCCCCAGGAAGTCTTACGGTGGCGTGCAAACGTCGCAGTGTCAGCGAGGGGGGGGGGAAGAAGTCATGGCCCAGTGGCTTATGCTGCACCGGTCGCAAACCAGCACAAGCAGAGTTGGTAAGAATATTTGGCCTCCCTCCCTCTCAACCGATTAAAATTGTCAAGATTCTTTTCGCATTTGGTGGAAATTGAGACAGGAGGAGATGATGAAAAAAAGCCTAAACCGCATGCCACATTCACAATCAGCCAAGAATGCAAAGGCTGCTTAAGAAACCTCATCAATATTTTAAAGCGCCGGTCAGTCAGCTGGTACGCGTATCGGGGCAATACTCCGTTTGCTACTAACATTATTGACATAACCAATTAGTGCCTCAATCCTACTTAATTCAAATCTAGGGAGAACAGTTAATTTAGTTCTCATGTCCTGCACAGCCGATAGAACAATAAGTACCCAAGAATGCAGGGAGAACGTTTTGTCTCAGTCATCTGTAACCATGTAGGTACAGCACTTCTCAACTCCACACTTGGTGACCCCAACACGGACAAGATTTCTAGTGCCAATTAATCCGCTGTTGCACGCTGTGCACACGAGACAGGCAGTAATTAGTGAATGTCGCACTGCGAGCAGAGGGGTTAGATGTTAACTCCCTTGCCTGGTATACAGGAAGTCGTGGTTTCAAAGCCGATATATTTGGAGTTTGCATAGTCTCCCCGTGGTCGGGGGAGATTTCTTTGGGTCCTCTGGTTTTTCACTCCACATTAAGAATCAACATGCATTTGGAGCATTTGGCTGCTATAGATTTCCAGATAAGCCACTTTGTTGGGTTATCAGTTGTGGCCAGGTCACTTCTGAAAAAGAGCCATATATCTCAGTGGACCTTATCTGGCGAAATAAAACAAAGTTGAATAGTTTAGTTTTAGTACTGTCAACCCTCCCCCATCAGCGATCCAGCTTGTCGGACTCGACAACTCAAGGCCGGCAAGTGACAATGATTTTTAAATGGAACTGGCCTCATCTGCTGCCTGATGTAAAGTAGCCATTTCATAAACTTGACATGCGCAAGCTTAAGGACAAAGGGTCTACACGATTGTCCTGTTATGGAATGGCAACAAACAGTAAGTAAAGTTGCTAAGACAGTGGGTGTTTGTTTACAAGATTGTAGTTTCTAAGCGCTCAAGTACGTGGCAGTTAAGTGGTTGCACAGTGGTTAGAGCAATCCATTTATGAACCCGGCGACCGGAGATTGATTCCCAAGCACTGTTAACGTCGATGGCGAGCAATATCGAAACCAGTTCTTGGTGATCCCTTCATCAAATGGCGCTGACCAGCATGGTCAAGTATAGTCAAGCATAATGGCGTGGAGGCCTTCACCCACAAGTGTACTGGACAAACGGCTGTAAATTAGCATTATAATACTTGCCCATAGCAACTAACACTAGTATTGAAAACGTATACATTTTTTTACACAAACAATTGCGTACAAAATATTGTTTATTGGTCAATGTCTGCCCCTACATGGCAAATGCATTAATAAGGTTGTGGATTACTACACAACCAAGGCAGTTGGGCTTGAAGTTTCATTTTTTTCCAGCAAATGTCTAATAAAAGCACTAACTGGTCTGACACCCCAAAACCACTTACTAAAGCACCCAAGCAGAGACAAATGCGATGGAAGAGGGTTTGGTAATGATCTGTCAAACCACTGAGACAAAGGCCTCTCCATACCATGCCAGGCATGAGGGTTGTTTGACTTATAAAATCCATACTTCCTCACCATGGTCAGTGTGGGTTGGTTAAGGGGGGAGGCAGAACGGGTTCAGATATCACTCAGCACTGATGTTATCCTCATTCCAAAAATGTAACCAAGGTTGCTTGTTCAAAGTAAAGTATACTAACCTACTGCGCCACCGCTCTCCCCTATGCAAGCTACAGCGTTTAATGACACGATGCACCAATTGAACAAGTGTGTGGGTATTAGGTTCTAATGAGAACAACTTCCTGTTTGTCGCGTCACAGAAGGGGGCCCTGTCAATACTAGTGGGGGGTTTTAGGTAGTGCAGAGGGTGTGGGGAGGGAGGGGAAATGACACTGAATAATCCTGAATGCCCTGAACGTTGTCAGTGGGTCACAACATCACTTCCATGACCGTTCCGTTTTTTAATGTATGATGGTGGCTCGCGGTCGGCGTGACTCTGCGAGTCTGCAATAGGAGTTGTAGCATCAAAACAAAGCAAAGCCAAGTGCCAAGAGAACTCGCAGGAACTGATTCCTGCGGAGTAATGCCGTCACGGGACATTGCGACTTTTCGCAAGGTGGGCAGTGAAGTTACTGCCTTGTTCAATAAATATGCCACGTCAGTTTAATTTTTTTACTTTACACTAAACAAGGGCAAAGAGAAAAAAATACACATATATAAAATCATAAAAATAATTGAATTAACGTAAAGTTTCTAATTGAATTTTAAAAGCAGAATTTTAAGGCAAAGATTGCCGAAACTCCAACCCGAAAGAGATTTACTCTGCCTGGGTCAATTAGTGCACCAGAGTTGTGTGGGGGATGAAGGCAGGGGCAAGTTCTCCAGGAGACACAGCATGGTTCTGGGCAGGCTTGAGGTCAGCACTGCGTGGAAACCAAGGATCAATGTACACCAGATAAGTGCTAAATGAAATACAAAATTGCAAAGGCTTGGGTCAGATCTCAGCTTAAAACATGGCCATTAAAAACAGACTGCTCCACACACCACTCACCAAAAACCACTTGTTAAACATAGAATGCTCCACCACATGCACCACTCATCCAAACCACTCAACCCTCCAGACTGCTCATCCCTATACCACTCACCACCCTCCTCCAAGACTGCTCACCATATCTACTGCTCGCACAAACCACTCACTGCACTGACTGGTCACCCCGTACAACACTCGCGCAAACTGCTCACCACAGAGAATGCACCACCACTGCATGAACCACTCTTACCACACATACCACTCGGCATACAGTGCTAACTCCGCACCCAAGTCACCCCGTATGGCTCATCCCACACACAGCGAGTCTCTGAACAAAACACGCCGACGCCACACTTGGAACGGAAGATAGTTATTTTTTGCAATGAGTCACCAGTGTCAGTGGCCCTTGCATAATGCTGTGCTAGGACACCCACAGTAAATCAATGCTTGACATTCAGATAAAATCCGCGTGTGCAATCCTGGTCCTCACACAGGTATGCTAAAAACAGCTCAATAAATATCGATTTAAAGCTTTCGTGACTGCAGGGATTCATATTCTTGGTTCTTTCGCTAAAGTCACGTAGAAGGGAAATAATAAAAATAAAACAAAAAAATTATCATGATGATGATTGCTTGTGTCGCAATCGAAACGTCGTGAGAATTTTATTGTTTTATTTTTATTATTTTATTATTTCTCTTCTACGTGACTTTACTGAAATAACCAAGAATAGCTCTATAAATATTAATGTAAAGAATGTGAAGTCAGAAAAGCCTTAAGAGATGATTAAAACAACAATGCAGGAGGCAATCTTTTCTAGGACCGACAATGACGACAAGCAGAAAGAGTTCAAAAACGATCCCCGTTTCGAATTAAATTATAATTTGAGGCACGTCAAGAGATTTTAACAACTTGAGCTAAAAGAAAAACGTATGCAGCCAAAGATTTTTCTGTAACATTTCGTACAAACGCGAGGCATGTCAAAGCATGTCTGTCATACAAATGACATAAGACTTGTGACGCACTGGTACTGGCACAATGCCACACGAGGCTGATTAATGGCTACAGCTAACATTAGATCACAGAGTGATCTCGGAAGCGGCCCTGGGCCCTCCTTCCCCAACTCACACCGAAGGGTGCCGAACTTTGGTCAAACAATCACCATGACTGACTGGGCATGCTTAGACCTACAGCCAGTAAACTGGATAAGAGCTTTTTTCTTCTTGGTTCTTTCGGTAAAGTCACGTAGAATGGAAATAAGTAATAAAAATAAAACATAATAAAATTACGTTTCATTTTTATTAATAAAAGTAAATAAAACATAAAATTATGTTTTATTTTTATTAATAAAAAAAATTATGTTTCATTTTTATTAATAAAAATAAAACATAATAAAAAAATGTTTCATTTTTATTATTTTATTATTTCCATTCTACGTGACTTTACCGAAAGAACCAAGAAGATGAATTCCTGCAGTCACGAAAGCTTTAAATCGAAATTTGGTTAAGAGCTGTTTTTGTTTGGTTCATGTATTACAAACGTTGAACATAGTTTCGTATAATTATTTAAAATTCTTGATTACAATATTAAGTACTTAATTTTGACAATAAACAGATCACCGTCTTAATTTAAGGTTTTTTTTCATCAGGTCAGGACTACCACACGTCAGCAACCCACAATAACCAACATGGTGAAGTATGGTTGAAGAAACGAGATTAATTACGCGGCAAACAAGAGCACAGTATGTTTTCGTTGCGGAAAATGTCATGCGCTTTTCAACAACGAATATGCCTTGCAGCTGCATTTGGTCAAGTGTGGCGAGACTACAGGAAAAGAGTGCTGCGGTTCTGATCTACAAAGTGCAATTGTAGGAGGTGTTCAGTGGTACAAGGCGTTCTTTAAAGAGGTTGCCGACCCATTACAGCAGAGTGACAAAACAGCTACGGCTGCATCACGGACGGCATCTGTTTCTGCAAAACACATTTTAACAAGGCAGCCAAGCACAGCGACACACAATGTTTCTGCAA